GCTCCGAGCTTGATGTATTTGCTTGATTTTTTTTCCAAGCAGTAGTCCAATTTACTTTTGCATCAAATCTCAGGCAGTGCAATACAGATGCAGCCTAGACTCCTCAAATACATCAATTTGAACAGCTTAAGAAGACAAAATTTAACTCATTATGATGTGAGAACTTTCTATAACAGCTGTTCCGTTTGACACCTGGCATTGTCTTCCTACCCCTGCTCGGGGCCTTACAGTGATACACTGTAAGACTGGTGTGTGTGCACGCCTAATGCATATTTCTAACTTAATTTGCTTAAGTGCAAGTGCTCCAGGAAAAATGTGACTGTGCACTATAGCAGATAGGAAAATGATTGTCTCCAGTTCCATTTTATTTCCCTTTAGTCATTCTGCAAGCAAGTTTGAGAAGAAAACCTTTTGTCTTCTTTTTTAGAAGTCAGAGGAGCTAAACAGCATCCCAGTGGGGGAGAGGGGCCTCTGGTTGAGCCTGCTGTGTGCACCGTTTCGGCTGGGACGGGAGTGCGTGTCAGCGTGGGTACCCATCATGAGGGAGCCGGGACCGGCACAAGAGCTGTACTTAGGAAGTTCTTCAGGAAGCAGCCCCGCTTTATGCTCGCACAAGGGGGAATTGAGGGGGAAAAAAACACCCCAAAAACAAACAAAAAAACCTCCAAGTCAAACCCAGAGCATTGAGACTAACGTGTTGCAGCAGTGTGTGTTCATCACCTTTCTGAAACAGCTGCCCAATTCTCACTTTACTTTCCAGCTTTTACTCACTGTCAGGGTTATGTTTCTGGGTGTTTTCTCACCAGTGGCAGTGACAGGAACTGCCGTCTCTCTTCTGTGACCTGGGTATGCTGTAGGTTATCTGGCTCTTTTCTTCCCCAAAAGGAAGAAAACTAGCGATCAGCAGAGCCGACTCCTGGAACGTTGTCGTAAAAATGAAACTCTGACCACACGTGCAAGTCGGTCACTGCAGGTCTCTTCCGGGGCTGGGAGGAAGAGGGAGGGTTAAGCTACGCGGGGAGCTTCCCTGTGCTTCTCCTGCCTCAGCCTCACCGGGCAAAGGTGGAAAGAGAAGAGTTGCACTTCTGAGGAACTTCAGGTCTCCCACTGTCGGTGGTGGGTGATTTAGGACTGCTCAGACCCTGGCTGACCACTTGCTGCTGCCTCTGCAGCAGAGGAGAGAGCGTGTTTGCTCTTCAGCTGCTGCACTTCACGTTACGATGGTGCCCAAGGCTGCAGAGGATGAAAAGAGTACTGCTGGTTTTGCTGCCCCAGTGCAGGGCGAGAAACGTTTGTCAAAAGGAGGGGATGGCTATTGGGAGTAGCGTCCTATACTGGAGATAAGGACCGAGACTCAGAGCCTTGTGGTCACCAGCACTGGTACCTGTGAGTATGTTTTGTGGAGTAAGCAGCAGAACTGTTGGGAGAAAAGCTTTTAGCTCTTCTTGTGGTTGGTTTTTTGTTTTTTTTTTTTGGTGAGTGTACTGGGTTGCAGCACTGTACTGTGGTGGCAATGAATCTGTCTGAAGTCTGTAGTTAAGGATTGTTTGCAGCTTCACAGCTTGTCTCTGTGGTTCGCTCCATTGCTTCCTAGTTCTTGTAATTAAATATAGTGTGACTAGTGATCGCGAGGGAGTTGCTGATGTGCTGGCATACATTATTATTCCTGGTATTATCTTCACTGGCAAAGATAGAAGTGAATCCCTTTCTCCTGCTTGCATCCTCTTCCATATATTACCCTTGCTCGTTTTGTTGTCTGTCTTCCAAATTTAGCGTACTTTTATGAGGTTGCTCAAACTTAGGTTAACTGTTTTAGTAAATGTCTTTCAACCAAGCTAAAAAAACCCCACCATTAACTGTGTTGTCTGATTCTGTCTGAGAAATAGGAACCTGACATCCCCTTGGCCAGTGTACAGACTCCTGGCAGGCACTGGAAAAAATGTTCCCCTGGTCCTTGTAATTCTCTGCGCAAGCCATGATTCAGCAGGGCAGCCACGTGGGTGATGGGGCAAGAGAGATTACGTCTGGCTGTTCCGAGACGAACAGGCTCCTTTTCCTCTTTGGGGGAGTGAGAGAGCAGAAAATGAGCTTCAGGGTGTATTTGCACTCCTTTCTCCTTTCTTTTTTCCCTTTTTTAATCCCGCCTCCAGTCATTGCCCATAACTCCAAACCTCCGCAGCAATTTCAAAAGAACTCCCTGATGCTGTGGAAACTTGCCCTGCATAATGAAGACAGGGTAAGGATAAAGGAGAGGGGAACTGCTCTTTTCTTCTGCGCTCAGCTGTTGGAAAGAGATGAGCTGTTTGGATTTGAATGTGAACAAAATGATTGATTTTTATCTTCCGATGAGGACTGATGGGTCAAACTTCTGTCTCCTGAAGCGATCAGCTTGTGTCGCTGAAAATCGAGAATTTTTACTGTAGTGAGAAATTTATTTAAAAATACATAAACAAAAGCGCAGTAAATGATTTTAAAATTTGCAACCTGAATACCACGTTACAGGGTTGTTAATTCAGTGACTGGGCTCTCCAGGGGAGCGTGCGAATTAGTATGGGCTTGGAGGGCCAAGTCTGTGCTTGTCCAGTTTCAGGTGCAGGTTAGTTGTTGTTTATCCTTATGTCCTGCTCTTGCTAATATCGGGCAGCTCAAAGAACTGCATGGATGGACGAAATTATAGGGTTTATTTTAGACAAATACAAAAGGCTACTCATAATGTTGCTGTCTTCCAATTGTATATAATTTTGGTGTTAAAGTTTTGTGGTATGCTTCTTTATCAACTATGATTTATTTAGCCATCTGATTGTATTTCCTTGTTCAAAGGGAGGAGTGCTTTCTTTTAAATGTCTGTTCTGTTGGATAGCTAAGGACTTTATATCCTACTCTTTTTCTGAGATCTGATTAGCATAAGGGAAATGGATTATACTCCCCTGTGCTGCCATCATTCCAAGCCCAACTTCGGTAGCACTGTTGAATACCTGAATATCTGAATATTTGAATATCTGATCTGGTGCTTCAGACCAGAAATTTGTACATCTCAAATTGGTGGCATGCGCTTTGTGCAAACAATACGTATTGTTAGGAAAGTGATTGGAATTAAAATCCCTGTGGGTAGGCTGCTCAGACCTGCTGTTAGATTGCAGAGTTCTTAATTTTTTCCCCACATTGCAGTGTAGGTACTGGAAATCATAGAAGATCCTGCAGATAACTTGCAACATCTGAAAGAGCAATCAGTAAGCCAATTTGGAAGGCTGTTGGAGGATGGGAATTGTGGTCTGATTCACAATTGCATCCCTGCAGACTTGTTCAGGTGTTGCAGCTCCATTTATCACTCCGTCATCAGGCAAAGGGCTCGCAGGCGCGTTTGTCTGGGTGTGTGTTGCACAGCTTTGACTGCTGCTCCCCGTCAGTCTCTAAGGAGATGGGACAACCAGCACATGTCCAGTTTTTACTTGCACTGCCGGAACTTTGCGTTGTGCTGCTTGTGCCTCTGAAGGTATTTGTAGAGAAATTACATGCTTTCATAGGCATTTATGGTGATAATTTTAATCATTTTAATCTCTCTTGAGCTTCACGACATCAAACAGCGTGTTCTTGTGCTGCATGAGTTCAGCTTTGTTTTTCTTCATCTGGCAGTATTCGCCCAGTGCGGCGACAGGGAACGGCAGTCCACCTGGTTTTAGTTCTTCTGGTAAGACCATGTTCTGCGAGAGGCATGTGTTGTGCTGAGACATTGTATAGCGCAATATTTATAGTTTGGAAATTAGGTGTGATAATTGAGAGTGGATTAATTGAGAGTGGATTGCACTGTCTTATCCTGGCTCTTTTGAATGGCACTGATAATGATTGCTCCAGTGGTGTGGCTGGGACTGAGTCATGCTTTGGGGCTATGGTGGGCATCTGATAGACACCAGTAGGCCATTCATTTCCCAAACTGTCATGAGAGGAGGAGGAGGTCAACACAGAGGAGATGTGTTGGCTCCTGTTCCGAAGAGGTAGCTCATCATTTAAGTGTATGGAGGAATGAGGGGCGTATTTGTTAATCAGTTGTCATAGATGGGTGGTTTCTGTAAATCTTTTTGTGCTATTCAATCTGTAGCAGAGAGGCTGCCTGCTTCTTGGTGATCAGAGAAAAATCTCCAGGATATTATTTAGAGGAGCAAGAAAAGGCCAGTGCCGATTTTCTTGAATGTAGAATGTGTCATGTAGATGCTTTATTGTGCTGTGGTTTTGGCTTTAGCAGCTATTTGTTCATGATCTCGCTCGTGTTTTTGTTAAAGACTGGAAGAGGATTGTGGTGATAGCATGTATTCATTTTGCAAATGGAGAAGGCGTGTCACAAAGTGGCAAGTCCTCATGCAGAAGTGGAATGCATTGGGTGGATCTTAGTCCCATGCTTTTGACTGTAGGCTGCATAATTTGGGTAGAGATAGTCTTAATGCCACTTAATGTGGACAGTGTGCTGAATTATGACTTCTAAACATAAGCTATTCTTTTCTCCCCAAGATCTTGTCTGATAAATGACAAGAAGGAAAGCATTTAAGGCTTTTAAAGGTGTTCAGTTCTAGAGCATGAAGATCTTTGGGCTAGAGCTACCCATAAAATATGTTGTACTTATGCCCTTATGTGTACGATCCTTTTCACATATGCAACCTTTGTGTGAACAGATAGTCAATCAGATCTTGGAATTGGTCCCACATTATAACGGAATGTTCTTTTTGACTGGGTTAGTTTTATCATTGGAAAAGTTTGTCACTCCATCCCACAAACGTTGCTGCTTGCCCAAAGGAATGGGTGGCCCGGGAGCGAGGAAGGGATCCACGTCCATTGGCAGAGATGCCAGTGTCTGCCAGTGCGGTGCTTGCTGTGTTCCTCAGAGTTGAATTCACACCTCCTTCCCCTGTTGGCCAACAAAAGAAATGCTACATTTATGTATTCTATGCTCACTTCCTATGTTAAACCAACTATTTCTATTTCAGCGCTTTCACTAGCTATTGAGAACCATGTCTGACAACGGAGAACTGGAAGACAAGCCACCAGCTCCTCCCGTCCGGATGAGCAGTGCTATCTTCAGTTCAGGGGGCAAAGACCAGTTGTCTGCCAACCATAGTTTGAAACCCCTGCCCTCTGTACCAGAAGAGAGAAAATCTAGGAATAAAATCATCTCCATATTCTCCAGCACTGAAAAAGGTGAGATGTCTCTGTTTTCTAAGGTTACTCCTTGTATTCCTTTACTCTTCTAAATTTTGGTAGCGCTTTAGACAGTTGACATTCCTCTGATCCCCTACACTTAGTCCGAGTGTAGGGGGTTGGAGGAAGTGTTGAAAGTTGGATATGTGTGTCCAAGGAGCCTCTTTCTTTTTTTTTTTTTTTAATTGCTTCTTTCTCTTTGCACTGGGATGTTTGAAGATGAGATTCTAAGTGAGAAAAATTAAATAGCTCGCTGAGGAAAACTACCACCTATTGCTTCTCGTCGTTGCTGCCCAGTTTAAAGTAATGCATTTGCAAATAATCCTAATAAATATTTGTGATTCTAGGCTCTTGTGTTACTTAGCATCGGGCTACACCAAATGCGGATTTCTAGTTTAAACTGAGCATCCAGCTGTTTTGGAAGTTGCTTAATGTTGATGACCATTTATGTAGTACTTGAGGAGAAAAAAAGGTAGTAGGGAAAATAGTGGGGAGGGTGCAGTGTGCATGAAGAATTGAGAAAAATTAGTCCTTCTGTCTAACTGCACTGTTAAGATTAATTACCAGTGGGAGAAAAATCTGGATTGCTGTAAACAAGGATTATTTCTGAGAAAAAATTGCTGTAATGAAACTAGACTGTATTTGTGCTTTTTTTCTGTCTTCTGTTCTGTATGATGAATTTATGTACAGCACTGGAGCCCTGATCCTGCTTCTCCAGGATGTCTGTATCCGTGTACAACAAAATACTGCATAGATAGAAATATCTTCTAACAGCTGGTACGGTAAAACTGCACAGGGACTTAGAAGCCCGACCAGAAACTGCCATTCATTTTATTAATCTCTACCAGCTAGCATTTTTGTGATTACTCTTAAAATGCATAACGGAAAGACCCTGCTGCTCTTAACGTCTTCTCTTTCTGCTCTTGGCTTCCTGTGCCTCGTTGCTGATGTGCTGGGCAGGACTGGTTCAGTCATGTCGACGCAGGTTTGACTGTTTCAAGAGACTTTGCTCCTCTGGTTATTTATCCGCTTGGCTAAGTGTTTTCCCCGGGGCTGGTTTTTACCCTTGCTCAGCTGTGTGAGCAGCCCCTGCCTCACCCTGGAGACAAACGCTAGAGGCAGGCTTCCCTGTATACGGAATATCTGGCTTTCCATGACCTGGCAGAGGTTCTGCTCTGAATGGTGGGCGTGTTTTCCTTTTCGGAGGCTGGAAAGATTTGGCCAGTGTAGCTTTTGGAAGCGGAATAGTTATTTCACAAGGTCACTTATTGTGAAATAACTGTCCATGGCTGGATTATGGCAGTAGAAGTAGTGGTCTTTTTTCCTGGCATGGGGAAGAGCCTTAAAGAAGTAAGGAGAATGTGAGAAGCTACAGGTTGGTTGCAGCACCCCAAGAGAAGAGACTCCAGGCCACTGAGGTTGGTGAAGGTGATGAATCTGGGTGCTGTCAGTGGTGCCACGTGTTTGGAGCAGGTTCTAGCTTAGCCCTGCGATACTGCAGAAACTGGGAGGAAATGCCTAGAAATCGTCGTGGTGAGTGCTGCAAGAAAATCTGGTGGAAGGATCAAACCTGGCCATCTTCAGACTAGGAGAATGGTTTAGGAGCTGGGATGGCACTTGTCATTATGCTGTTGCATTAATTGTTTATCAGAGCATTTGTGGCCCTTTTTTACAGATAGAGATATCGCAGAATCCCAGACTGGTCAGGGTTGGAAGGGCCCTCTGGAGCACCCCCAGTCCCACCCCCCGCCAGAGCAGGGGCCCCTCCAGCAGTGGCACAGGACGGCGTCCAGGCGGGTTTGGGATGGCTCCAGAGGGGGAGACTCCCCCACCTCTCTGGGCAGCCTGTGCCACTGCTCTGCCACCCTCACAGGAGAGAAGTCCTTCCTCATGTTTAGATGGAACTTCCTATGTTCAGGCTTGTGCCCGTTCCCTCTTGTCCTGTCACTGGGCACCACTGAAACAAGACTGGTGCTATCCTCCTGGCACCTTCCCTTTAAGTATTTGTAAATATTGATAAGATCCCCCCTCGGTTTTCTTTTTTTCTAGACTGAAAAGCCCCAAGTGCCTCAGCCTTTCCTCATCAGAAAGATGCTCCAGTCCCCTCATCACCTCTGTAGCCCTTTGCTGGACCCTCTCCAGCAGATCCCTGTCCTTC